AAGAAGTCAAACTAGCTTACCCTGAAGGAGATACTTAAATCAGAAAAAAATATAATAATGTAAATGGGCAAGTTTAAAGTTCCCCCTCGTCCCTATTACCCAGCAGAGTGGAAGCTCATGAGAAACATAAGATTAATAATACAGCATAAAGAGTTCTTTTTTTTTTCATTTTTGAGTATAGACAGTAAACTTCAGTTTCTTTATGGTTGCATTAAAACTATGTTAAATACCAAACAAGTTTTAATCACTATTCCACTAGATTATTGTATTTCAACATTTTAAGCAATCTTTTTTGCTCAAATGAAATTTACACCTGCTTTTATGATTTTTGACCCTGTTTTAACAACATACATAGCTAAGTATTAAGATAACTTAATTTATGTAGTAAGGGATACCTGAATGTAAGAATTCACACTCTATAGGGGGAAGAACAAAGGCAAATTTTGATAAAGAGATGTTCATATGGATTATTAAAACTGCGAAATGTGACCTTACCGTTCTGCATACCCACTGTCCCGGGCGAACCTCTGAAATGCGCCCATGGGGTCTGAGCCTGTGCTTAAGATGAATACCAGGGGAGTGTTGCATGACATATCTTGATACAGAGTAGCCAGGTCCACAGGTGGCGTCTCTATGAACTGTTTTCCAAGATTTTCTATCACAAAGTCTGTAAGAGCAAAAACCACCTGAAAATTGAAAAGAAAAAAACATTAAAAAAACAGTATGTTGGATGAAGATCCTTCATAATTTTATCCTATTTTTCCCCTTCAACTCCTCAGAGAGTGGCGCCCTGTGCTTCTGTACCTATTCTCTCTTCATTGGGTACATGTCTTCCTATAGACATAATTTGGTGGATTTGTACACTAAACATCTGCTGACAACCATGGTCCTTATGACCCGTTGAGCAAGAAGAACCATTGGGTAAGGGGAAAGTCTGTCATCATTCCATCTATCTACAGACCTCCTGTCTCCCCTTCCTTGCCTACTTCTGTCCTGTCCCTTTCACATTCTCATGAACTTTTCTTTCAGTCCCTACATTGTCTCTTTCTGCATTATCGATCTCTTCCTCTCTCTTTGATCTTCCTGTCATCATACAATTAGGCTTTACTGTATCCTTACAACCAAAATCAAAACAAAAGCTTTCCCCTTGATTGCAGCTACCCTCCCAGCTACTATTTCATTTCTTTGCTCCAATTCACCAGCCAACTTTTCAGAAAATTGACTCCATATCTTCTTTATCTCTTTATCTCTTATTTACTCATCAGCCTCTTCTGACCGTCCTTAGGAAGCAGCCTTAGCCTTGATGATCATGCCCATGCCTCGCCATTTCCTACCAATCTGTTTCTTTCACTGATCCCAACCTATCCTCACCTACCCCATTCCTGTTCTTGCAAACCTTGCCCCTCCCAAGCTCATGTGGAGCCTTTGTGTAAGACAGTAAAATATATCCCCTGTTCAAGCTACTTAATGTGCCAGAAAGCTGTCGTGATAAATATACAACATATAGTATCTATAATGTAAATGGCTCCCCAAAGGTTGTGCAGTGCACATCCCACACAATTTTAAGCAGCAGCTGTGCTTTAACCTTAGCCCTCCATTAGAAATTAACATTATTCTGTCCAAATAAGACTTAACATATATATATATATATATATTTTTTTAATGCTTTTTGGGGAGAGGGCATCCTGACTCGGTCCGGGGCCATGGCCTTGGATCACATCCTTCTGTAGTCAACCTGGGAAAAGGTGTGACATTATTCTGTCCAAATAAGACTTAACATATATATATATATATATTTTTTAACGCTTTTTGGGGAGAGGGCATCCCGACTCGGTCCGGGGCCATGGCCTTGGATCACATCCTTCTGTAGTCAACCTGGGAAAAGGTGTTCACATGCTTGCCCACGTAAGTTAGGATGTATTATGGTAGTAACTACAAAGGTGACATAGTCCCGAAGGAACTGCCATGCAATGGGGCCATTGGGGCTTAGTTCTAGCTGTGTCACTGTATGACTAAGTATAATTCAGTTAATCTTTCCAGCACCAATTCCTTTATTATTTTTATTTAAAAATGATTTGATTATATGAACTATTTGCTTCTTACTTTGCTAAAAAGTATTCCTAGAGTTTATAATAAATGACGACATACAAAGCACTAATAATTTATTTCTTGGAGCTGCTAGGTAAATAGCAAAATGGTAACACACTCATGAAATGCTTTTGAACTGAAAATATTACAGAAATATTTCTCTTGCCAACCAGACAAACTGTCATTAATATTATATAGAGATGTGGGTTTCCAATGGCTTTATCACAAGCTATTGGTTACATGTGCACTTTCTCATATGTATGAACTAATTTTCTTTATGAAACATTTCAATAATGCAGAAAATAAATTTACATAAAAACACCCTTGGTTAGGCACTAGTTAACCAATACAAACCTAGTAATACATATATCCAAGAACATGGTTAAATACATCATAGAATACATAAAGGACATATATCAGTCAAAGCTATTGAGCTGAGGGTTCCTGTAGAATTAGCATGCCGTTTCCTGTCTTTTGATTTGGCCTAGTGCTATTTGTCTCTCCAGGGATGTCCAGGGTTAAGGCTTTTTAGGTGGAGGGAGAGGCAGTCCAAAAGAAGTGAGTATGTATGCCAGCCCAGGAGTGTGTGCCTCGTTACCATTGCTAAATGGTCCTCCCACTTTCATACTAAGTGGCTTAGAGTTCTTTGCTGTTTACAATAGTGCATTAAAGATATTGTCCATGCAATAGACAACATAAGAACTCCTATCTCACTCACTCAGCCCAGAGGCTTCTTGGATTGTAATTGTTCTAGTCAGTGCAAGTGAAACAGGCCTGCTTCCTGATATTGAGCCCCTCAGGAATATAATGGCCTGAACAGAGTGCTCCCTTATGACTGAAAATATGCTGAGCTGGCAGAATATGGAATATTTCCTGGCTTGGCATTTCTTATTAGTTCTTCAGCTTCAGTTTGTGTGCACTCTGTATCTAAATATCCTCTCTTTCAGACTCTTTATCAGATTGCACTCCATCCGAGAAAGTCTTGTCATTCCACAGTGGACTTAACTCTAGTTATTCTGTGGTCTTTCTCTATGTGCTCCCCTGTCCATGCTCCTGTGGGATCGTAGATAGCTTGGTTCTCAGGGGGTCCTTCATATCACATGGCTGATCAACTTCTCCCCGTGACTCGTTTGGAATTTTGCTGTTTTTATTCTCATGAAAATCTCTATGGCAATAATGGCAAAAATTTGCTGTGGAAATGCTTCAGATTTCTGATAATCTCTAAGATCTAGATAGCCAGGCATTTCTTGAAGATCACCCTCTGCAAATCCCGTGTCTGGGTTGCAGGATCAGAGAATGTACAATCTCCTTCCTCTTTATCATTGAGTCCTTTCCTAGGAGTTTTTCTCACTTCTCCTTTTATAAATTGAGTTTCCCAGTTCTGACATATGTGACTCCATTACATTTTGCTTAGAGTCTTTTTCTAGCTCCTCTGCTTGATTCTTCACACAGTCTCTGGCTGAGTCTCTCAGAGCATTTTTCAGTTTCTCCTTCTGATCAGAATGCAATGGGCATTCCAATAGGAAATTCCTGAATTCAGAGGAATACTTTTTTGAAGGCATTGGTGGGTTGATGGTGCACAAATTTACCCCCGAGAGGCTCTGTGCCTGGGGATTTCTCACCCAGAGGAAGGGGGCAGTTTTGTTCTTTCCTTGTGATGAGAAAGTAAGCTTAAATATTTTGGAATGATGACTTCCAGCTCATCCTTCATAGTGACCAAACCCCATTAAAGCTATAGTGTATCAGATGAAGAATAAGGGCCCTGGGTGACCTACTGAAAATGTGCATTTCAACAGAATCCTGTGTTTACACTTCTTACCATCAAACTCAAGTTTCTGAGTCCTAGAGAAGAAATCGAGAGAATGTTGAATGGAATAAGGAGGTGTTTTTTTCCCCTGTAGAAGGTTGATGGATAGGCCATTAAACTGGCTGTAGGAACTACAGTACCTCAAACTTAAAATTAGTAATAATAATTATACATTTTGGTAGTAGCATTATCAGCAAAAATCCATAAAGGTAAACTTTCTTCCTCAAGTTCAGTATTAGTCTTCCATGATTTATTTAATTTTTCTATGTCTTTTTTCACCTGATCCAAACAGTGACTTAAAACAGTGTTTCTCTTGAGAGAGAAACACTCAACAAACTAGACATAGAAAAGACCTTCTTCAATCTGATAAAGGATGTCTATGAAAATTCCACAGCTAGCATCATACTTAGTGGTGAATGCTTGAATGCTTTTCTTCTAAGATCAGGAACAAGGCAAGGCTATCTGATCTCATAACTTCTATACAACATTGTACTGGAGGTTCTAGCCAGGGCACTTAGGCGAGAAAATGAAATAAAAGGCATCTGGATTAGAAAAGAAGAAATAAAATTATCTCTATTTGCAGATGACATAATTTTATAAAAAGAAAATGCTAAGGAACTCAGTCAAAATCTATTAAAACTAATGAACAAGTTTAGCAAGATTGCAGGACACAAAAATATTTAAAAATCAATTGTATTTTTATATAGCAGCAATGAAAAAACCAAGAATGAAATTGACTCAGTCTGTTTTGTGCTGCTATAACAGAATATCTGCGATTGTGTAATTTACAAAGAAAAGAAATTTATTTGGCTAATGGTTCTGGAGGCTGGAAGTCCCAAAGCATAGCACCAGTGTCTGGTGAGGGCCTTCGTGCTGCATCATCCCATGGCACAGAGTGAAAGGGCAAGAAAGGCTGAGAGAGCAAGAGAGCAAGAAAGGGCTGAACTCACTTTTATAACAAGCTCACTCTTGTGATAACCATCCCACTACTGTAACAACAACACTCATCTGTTCATGAAGGCAGAGCCTTCGTTACCCAATCACCTCTTTTTTTTTTTTTAAAATAAACACTTATTTGTACATCTTTCTGGATACAGTGTGTTGTTTCAATTCATGCAGATACTGCACAATGATTCACTTAGATAGCATAGTTTTATACACATTAATCCACCACTTTCTCTCCCTTCTGGCCTCTGGTAACCATTATTCTACTCTCTATTTCTATGAGAAGGACCTTTTAAAAAACGTTTAGAATGCACGTATGAGGGAGACCACATGTATTTGTCTTTATGTGCCTGACTTACTTCATTTAACATGATGGTTTCCAGTTCCATCCATGTTGCTGCAAATGATAGAATATCATTTCTTTTTATAGCTGGAGAGTGTTCCATTGTGTATACATTTTTTATACACTGTGTATACAGTTTTTTTATCCATTCATCCATTGATGGATATTAAGGTTTATTCCATCTCTTGGCTATTTTGAGTAGCATTGTAATAAACATGGGAGTGCAGGTGTGTTTTTGACATATTGATTTCATTTCCTTTGGGTCAGTAGAGGGATAGCTGAGTAGTGTTATAGCTGGGTAGTAAGGTAGATCTATTTTTAGTTCTCTGAGGAATCTCCAAACTGTTTTCCATAATGGCTGTACCAATTTACATTCCCACCAACAATGCAGAGGGATTCCCTTTTCTCTGCATCCTCACCAGTATTTGTTACTTTCTGTCTTGTTGATAATAGACATTCTAACTGGGGTCAGATGATATCTCATTGTAGTTTTAATTTGCATT